AAAAAAAAAAAAAAAAAAAAAGGAAAAAAAAAAACCTATTTATACTGCAATACTGGTCCTAAAAAATGGAGAAAAAAAAAACACAATGGAAAAATTTCTGCAAACAATTAAAGAAGGGGGAGGAAGGCTCAGGATGGGGCTGGTGTTGCAGGATAAATATAGAATTTATAGCATAGTAAGAGCTGTTTTTGTTGGGTCTTAATTAAAACTACGCTGGTTGCTCCTATGCTGCTGAGCCTCAGTGCTACAGTCCGTGAGAAAAAGAGGGACAGGGTGATTTTCCTAGGAAGGGACTGATGCATCTCACTGAAGAAAACAATGATTGGCAATGCTCATCGTGAGCATTTCGGGCACTTCTGTAAACAGGAATATGTGCTTGTACTCTGCTCCACGCCACACTGTCTGCTCTTGACCGACCCTGTTCAGCCCGATCTGCTCCAGAAGTCATCAGATGCAGATGTACTTTTGCTAAACGAAGCCATTTTCCTGAACTAATACTTGTTCCTTTTTCTAACAGGAGGGTTTCTTGTATCTTTTTATGACAGGATAAGGAAACATTGCTTTTATGCACCCATATGCCATTCAGATAAAGACTCAGAAGCATGATGGTTTAATTGGTAGGAAGCTGGAACAATCTCATTGTGAAACCTGACCCCTCTGAAATTTCAGTGGCATCTTTTTGATCTTAGAGCTTAGGGCCTGAGCTTAGAGTTAGCAGCCTTTCTGCCAGCAGCCACCTCCCTCTCCAGCTGCCCACTCTCTTTTCAAGGTGCAACCAAAATGTGGCATCTCAAGGGACAAATACTTTGCTTGTGGAGGCTGACAGCTGCGGACAGTGGATGAGTTCAGCAAGATGATCATTGCAGGGTCAGCTGCAATTGAAGAGAGGGTGGTTATCTATTCAGCGTGTTCTGTTTGTGAGAAGTGGAGAACCACATCTAATTCCCAGAATCCAGGACCTTGGCTATACCTACTGGACAGTGATAGAGCCACAACAGAGGCAGGTCTGACGTGGATCCAAGCCCACTTTTTCAGTATTATTTTCTCCCATTTTAAATGAATTTCAAATGAATTTTAAATCCAGTTCCACTGAAGAAAAGTAAGAAAAAATAGGCCAAGATGAGATGAGGTTTAAAGATGAGAGGAGTTATTGATACATTGCCAAAATATACGAATGGAGGAAAAAAGAAAACAGCAAAAATCACTGAGGTGATCCAATACATAAACTGAGTTAGCCTTTTTACTTAATTGTTTTGCTTTATCCCCATCCTGGGTGTGACAATTGCTATCACTCCACAGAGGGACTCCGTCCCACCCTTCCTGTTGGGATTTGAAATGCTCCACTAGTTTTCACGTCTCAGTACCTTGCTATTAATGGAAGCAAAGTATCCCTTCCCCTTGGCATCACAGATGTGAAAATCACTAAAAAAAATAATAAAGACACTTCTAGTTATTTTTTTTCCAAGACAATAAGAAAATATTTGGCAATTTCATGCTTGTTTGGTGCTGTGGTTTGATCTGGTTCCCCAGAAAAGTGGGGGCTGTTCTTTGGATTCTCTGAAGCCTCCCGGAGCGAGGGGAAATTGGTGGCTCTCTGGGAGCTTCCTGGAATGTAAAATGCCATTTAACTCTGGCTTTATGTCTTCAGATGCTTGGGATCTCTGGTGTCTCAAAGGCACAGGGAGTGCCAGGGTAGGATGGACAATTAGATGAGTTAAAAAGGGGAACTCATTAAGAACATTCTCAGAGCAGAAGCTGCAAAGGAACAGTTACATTCTTCGCCTTATTCTTTACATAAATTTTGAGAGCCAGTGGAAAACAGACTGTCACAGGGCTGGATTCAGGCCTGGTAGAGACATGGTTATGTTTTTGTTTTGCTTTCCACCAAACACTCAATACCCCCATTTTCTCTTCTGTTGCAGGGAGAAAAAAAAAAAACAAACAAACAACAACAACAAAAAACCACCACAAAAGGCTTCAACAAAGAGCTCTTCACCCACCAGTTCTCACTGCCCCACCGTGTCCTTTGCAAATCTTAGATGCCAGCAGGAGCAGAGCTTTTTCATGAGAATTGGATTGGAACTGGATGATTGTGGAACAAATCTGTCCCATGACATGGGGGAAAAAAAAAAAAAAGTGATTGCTGATCTACTCATTATGGAAAAAATGTGATTCTTACTTATGTGATTTCTTACTGGACAGTTGATTGGGATTTTGAATCCTATATCTTTCTCATGAAAGCACAGAAGGCACCCAGGTTTCATAGAATTATATATAAGTTCATCTTTTCATAAGAAAGTTTGTTTTCTGTTGTGTTAGTCTTCCCTTGTATTTCCTTTGCTTTGTTCCCACTGAGACACGAAGAATCATCTTGAGTCAAATTCAATTCAGGGAAGAACTTATGAAAATTAGTGAAGTACATCCTCTACTTGCATCAGGAACTAAGAATAACCATTCTTAGCATTCTCTGTCTAGGAGAGTTTCACCCTTATTCAGAGAACCATGGGCCACGCTAGGAAAAAAATGATAGCCTTGGTTATTGTCTTTTGCAAAATAGCAAGTACTCCTCTAGATTTAGTCTTTGTGCTTCTCATCAAGAAGAATCCTTTAATAGAAATGGTTCTTTAACTCCTAGAAGGTGCATAAAACAAAGGGCTGGAGGGACAGTGGTCTGAGTCCTCCATTGTAAGCAAGTGTTTATTACTTCACTCCTTTGTCTTCAGCTTCTTCTAAACTATGATTCTTATGACATCCAAAACACAGACAGGCAAATGAAGAGCACTGGGATAAAACTGGTAATCTTTATAGTTATATCTTACTAATCTCTCAGTAGTATAATTCTGTCTATATAATTTAAATGGCTGATTTGAGACACAGAAGCAGAAGAGCTCCTAAGGCTTTAAAAGTCCCTTAAGTTCACTTGAAGAAAAGGAATTTCCCAAGGGTAAATCATCCAGTGAGAAAATTTGTGTCCATTGTTAATTCTGTGAAGGTCTGCAGAGGTCTGATCTGAAATCAAGATTATTTCACATAAATCCATATCTGACAATAGAACAAATCAGCATGGGAACTTCAGACTGATATTAAGCAGGATGGGAGATAGTTCTTAAGGATGTTAAAAGTTTCTGAGGTTTTTTTTTTTTGTTGATCAAAATAGTCACTTCTGCGATACGGAAACAGATCTGTCGGGGGAAAAGACTAGGCTGGAGAAAAAAAAAAAAAAAAAAAAAAAAAAAAAACAGAAGCTGCACAGCAGCTTAAGCAAAAGCTTAAGTGCAAATAGACAAGTTTCCAAAAGATCTGAAAGTGCTTCGGAGAGGTGAAGGGTAATCAGTCCATGGCTTTTGCAATGTCTTCATGGATGTCCAGCTTGGCCTGTACAGTCTTGCAACCTTTATTGGAGTAGATTCTTGCTTCTTTGGGGAAGTATGTCATTTCATCAGCCACTGCCTGAACAACCTTCTCATCGACTTCATGCCCGTGGGCAATCATCTCAGCCTGCACACACATCTTCACGTGCTTGTGCTCCAGGGGGAGCAAGGGAACAAAGTAGTCAATGAGGTTCCTGTCCATGAGGCTGCTGTGCCACAGTCCACTGTTCTTGTTACTGAAGACTCCCACAGACAGCATGGGCTCAAGGTCTTTCAGCTGAATATCTTCCCTATGCTTTCCAATGGTCCAGAAGTCAAGCGCTGCTTTATTAATTAAGTCACCACCAGCATTACTGAGGAAGATGAAGATGGCTTTCCTGTAGGACACCCCGTCAACCTGCTCATAGTAATGCAAGAAGGGCTTGATGGCATCAATGAGGCCCTGGTGCATTTTGTCCATGTACATTGTTCTTTCATATCCAAAACCTAGCCATGAAATGAATACAAACTCACAATTTTGCACAAGAAGCCTGTGCCACTAATCACTTGCAGCATAAACCTAAAAAGAAATGGTTCTGGAGGTGTCCAAACTCTGTTTTGTTATAAACTTCAGTGGTTGTTTCACTGGTTTACGTTGCTTCTCATGGGATAACTTCAGCATGACTTAAAAAAAAAAAAAAGCTTCCTTTAACCTATACTATTTATTTTGGGAAAAAAAAAAGATTACAAAACTGAACACAATCCCACCTTTAAGAATTAAATCCTTCAATTACCCATGTACAAATCCTCAGTAAAGATTTTGGCTTTGCTGCTCAAGCCTTTATAACTCACAGAGGAGAGCCCGCACATAAAAAACCATGAAAATTAATGAATGTGGACTTGCAGCAGTGAGAAAGTTGGAATTCCTCCTCTTTGGGAACTTCCAGCGTGTCAAAACTTATTCTAAGCTGAAGTAAAACTTCCAATGTAATAAATTTGCACAAAAAATGAAATTTCTTACAATTCCTGCTTGGAATTGGCATTTTCATTGTTCTGAAATAGAAAGAAGCATGAATAATTACCTATATTGAAATGTTCCCTTCTGTTTGCACGGTTTGCCACGCATGCTCTAGTTGCCTGAAATTCAGTTAATATTAATCTTCACTTTTTGTGATTCTCTCTATTCTGGCATTGCAATTAAGCAGACAGGACTCCCAGGATTCCCTAATGCTTAAACTTTTCTGTCCCAATTCCATTTCTCATACAGCACTAGACTCACACGAGTACCCAACACAGCATGTAATACAGGCCAAGCTGAATGCAATTTGTATCTCTGGAGCTGCAGCCCTCCAAAGGTCTACGGGTTTATAGAAGAGAACAGTTACAAATTCAAAGTCCTACAAGACAATGTAGAGACAAGGAAATTAATGTAGCAAATGAATTAAGACAAAAAATATTTTGTATTTAAAAAAAGAAAAGAAAATCAATCTTTTCTGAACATGGGTTGCATTTCACTCAGACTGCAGCATTTCCCTTTACATTATCACCAGTGTGATTTTGACAGTTGTTCACTTTTGGAAATCAGCTTGGTGGGAACTGCCATTCCTATTGGAAACCTGCACCACTGTAAATCTCCTGACCATCCCTGCTGTTGTCTACATCTTATCAGTCTGACAAGGACAAGCACAAAACCCAGCAATACTGGGGAAATAACAGACAAGGGAATCGCTACAGGCAAACTTCAAGAACAACAGTATTCAGGGCTGTTATTTTGTTTGAACACAGCTACAATGACTTCTCTTTCTCACTGTCTACCCATCAGCCTTGCACCTCTTTTACTGGTGAGTAACTGCTCTCCTGCACATTATCAGGAGATGCATTGTCATAAGGGAGAACAGATATTGAAACCAAAGAGATTTCTGAGAAAGAAGAACTTAGTTTCCCAGTGTACAACTACAGTTGAAGTAGATACTAATTCCTATTTTACCCAGAATTTAAGCTTCTTGGGGCCAGATTCTCAGCTGGTAGAAAACAGAGTACCTCCTGCTGCTTGCACTGTTTGAAATTAGGTATGTGTTCCCCCTCCCAAGACATTTGTTGCACTTGTTCCTGTTACGCGTTGTACCCCCAAAGGATCTGACGTTGTCTGAAAAGCCAGCCATAAGGCTTCCTGCCCTGAACCAGCCTGTGAATTCAAAAGCTCGGGAAGTAAATAAAACCAACTGTGCAAATGCATTTTGTCGGCTATGGGGAAGAAAAAAAAAAAAAAAAAAAAAAAAAGTTTTCACAGAGCACATTTCATTTTCCATTGGCGCTTCTGGCAACTTCTTTCTTCTACACATCATCATCATCGGAGAGACAAAACCCAGCCTCCCGTTGCGTATGCAAGAAGGAGAGACTTTCCCTGTGCTCCACTGTGAGCCATAAATTTCAGAAGAGCTCTGCTATAATCTTTTACAGTCTACAATCCCACCCTTCAGCTTAATGAAATGGAATGGTACAAATGCTCTCTGGACATTTCACTGCTGACAGTCACCCAAGGTTCGCTTCAGCTGTTACAATAAGGCTATTTTATTGTCTTTTCTTTATTTCTCTTGTACAATTTCATGACTAACTATGTGTAAAATGGAAGGAATTTGACTATCCTTTCTTCATGCAGTTGGACAGAAACTGGACTGGTTCCTTTAACTCACTTTTCAGCTGGCAGGAGCTTGCTTTCTGTTTTCTTTTAAATGTCAGAAAAGGTTAAATAGACTCTTCAAATGTGCAATAGATTTTGAAGACCTCTGGGGGTAAAACCTTCACAAGAGGAACAGTTTATATTAGTTCAAACAACGAACTTGGGTTCAAAACCTGGAAGGCAAAATAAAAATAAACCTACAATATGTCTTACATAAAAATAACAGGAGTTGTTTTTTTTTTTTTTTTTAAACCTGATCTTTGAACATAAGGGAAGAGGGGTGTTTGATACTCTCTGGCTTTCTTGGTTTTTATACATTTAAAAAGTTTGGTTAATATTGCTGTCATAGTTTGAAAATACATGTAAGGCATGCAGTCACAGATTTAGATATTAGCAAGTGATTCCCAATATTTTCCTGTGTTTTCTTAATAACCCTGCTCTGCTGCAGGACTTTCAAAGGGACTGAGATCCTAGCTAGGCTGCCACATCTCTCCCTACTTGAAACAGAAAGCAAATGCAAACATTGGGTCTGAAAAGCCTAAAGGAAAGTTGGCGAGGGCTTTGGCTTTCACAGCTTGCTGAAAAATTCAGCATTCCTCATACAAGAAAATGAGCTACCATCTCAACTCAGGAATTGCTTGGCAGACACAATCTGTAATTTGGGAGAGGGCAGGAGAGGAGGCTGTAAAGAAGTGCTTGAATCCACAGAGCTGCCAATAGAATCATAGAATCATCAAGGTTGGAAAAGATTGCTAGGATCATCCAGTCCAACCACCCATTTACCACCAATGCTGCCCACTAACCATGTCCGTAAGTGCCACATCTCCACATTTCATGGACAGATCCAGGGATGGTAACTCTAACTTCCCTGGACTGCCCATTCCAGTGCCCAACCATTCTTTCAGAAAAGTCTTTCCTCACATCCAACCTGAGCTGGATATTTTCTCAATTTGCTCTTTCTTTGGGTTCTGCAAGACGGGACCCTGTAAAGAGCTGCCTGAGTATATGTATATATTTTGAAGAGTGGCACTGTGACACGTAACGAAGGGCTTGGCTTTCAAGCTCCAAATATAGTCCACACTAATCATATAAATACACAAATATCAAATGCTTGTTGATTCAAAAGTGGTCTGCCTTTTGTTACTGCTCGCTATATACGAGGCTCTTACAAATGCAAAGTGACCATGTTATTAAGCTTCTTCATACGCATCTTCTCTTTCCCACTGGCAACACGGTTCAAAAGGAACCATGAGAGAGCAAGGGAGAGAGCAAGGAAGCAACCAAGCATGGAGAGATCATTTTACCACAGCACTAAGCCTTTCAGCCCTTCACCTCAGCACTGCTCCTGGAGCCAGGATCCTTCCCCAGCTCTCCTTTGCCTTAAGAAAAATGTGAAAAGTAGTTTAATTGGTCTCAGGCCTGTTATCACTTATGACAGCCATGATCAGAAACAGGGTCCATTAACAGCTGTAGCATTTAATGCATGCATTCACTTATGAGTAGAGGTTCCTGGACTGTATGATTAATGTCATCTCAACATATTAACAAAAAATATGAAGCACTTTGATTTTTTTTCTCCTTTGTGACTGACAACATAAACACATTGTCAAAAGCACTGAACAGATGGTAAGGCACTTAGGGGAAGTCTGCTCCATTGGCCTTCAGTAAGCACTTAAACCACCACAGGTACTAACTGGAAGAAGGCTGCTCTTTGTTTCCACAGAGCACAATGGAGCAAAGCAGTCACACTTTGCACCTTCCATACAGCAGTAATTCTTGCATTCTCACAACAGACTGTAGTTCACAGGATCAAGTTGGAAAGAACCTTTAAAGGTCACCTAGGCCAACTTTCCTGCAATGAACAGAGACACCTACAGCTCAGTGAAGTGCTCGGAGCCCCTTCAGCCCAACCGTGTCTCCAAGGATGGGGCATCCACCCCTAGGAAACCTGTGCCAGTGCCTCACCACCCTTATTGTATATATATATATATAAATAAAAATCTATATATATTAAAAAAATCCAAAAAAAAAAACCTCCCCCCCCTCACACACACACCACACACACCCTTCTTTCTTATATCCATTCTAAATCTCTCCTCTTTTAGTTTTAAACCATTTCCCCTTGTCCTATCACAACAGATCCTGCTAAAGAGTCTGTCCCTTTCTTTCTTAGAGCCCTTCTTTAGTTGCACGGCAGCCTCTCCTCTGAAGTTGATGGTCTATCCATAGAGAATGGCACAAGAAGCAGAGACAAGTAGCTACCACAGCAGCAAGGGAAGAGCTCTGCTACATATAGGAGGGATTCTTGTAGCATCAGCATTTGTTCTTGGGTCACATACAGCTTCCTTCCACATTTCTGAGCCGAGAACGGTGCCCTGCTTGTGCCTCCTTTTGTCTACGCTGTAAGCTTTAAATGCTCACCTGCCACTCTCTGTGGGGCTGGCTGTCTTGACAATCAAAACACTCTTTCTCATCGTTTCCCAGAGGCCATTACTAGTTGTACTCTCCTGAAAGTCTTGTTTCACTTTGGGGCCTTTCAACAGTTTGAATAATGAGTGTTGATCAACATCAACTTCACTCCCACAACATGAATGAATTATTTTAGCAGAGATCTCTTACCACTATGACAAATCTGCAGAGGCCTTTGTCTTCCCTTTCGCTACCAGAGGGAGTTTCAGATCTTCTTGTTATTAAATTCCTAAGGAACAGATTTTCTTGAGCTGATACGGATTACATTATATCCAGGTCTAAAAATTGAAGAGGAATAAAATACCGCAAGAAATCTGGATTCTCCTTTTTCCCCCCCC